GTGATTTGATTGGACGCAGTGGGAGCACACACTTCTCCATGTTGCGTGTAGTCAGCATGCACCTCACTTCATGTGGCCTTGCTTTAAGTATGTCACTTCTTCAATAGTGGTAGGAAAAAATGAACCAAAAAAACCCAGCTGAAAACCAGTAGAATTTAGTAACTGTGTGCGCACGCGAGCGCACGGCTAAACAGAACATCTCCTGGGCCACACGCAGCCCTCGGGCAGAAGGTTGCCCACTACTGAAATAATGAAAAGAGGGAAGAGGAAATTAGAGGTGAACCCCTACCTCTCCTCTGCTACTGCGGGGCAGCTTGCCCATATAAGGACCATGTTGAGATAAGCCCCTTCCTCACTGGGAACTCTGATGAGACCCCACAAACTCAGCTGACAGCAAGTCAGGCAGCACTGGAAGAGACTGATGTTTGACTGACCAATCTCAGGCTGTGGGCAAAGCACAGGGAGGTCTCAGACTCCTCTCAGCTTCCTACCCTGTGAAGGAGGCAGCTGCTGTTCAGATAGTACTGCTAGTGAAGGGTGCACTGGCTTCAAGGTAGTGACTAGAGCCCCATCAGGCAGTGGCTACATAGTAGGGATGCTAGCATATAGGCAAGTAAACAATTAACTGATAAAACAGAATTACCTGATAAGCCCAATCGACTACAGGCACTCCCCTCTCCCCCTACTGACTCTATCAGAGGCAGCAAGGGGGAGCAGGATCTAGTACCCATGAGGAGCTATCTTTAAGCAGGTTCCCCAGGAGCACCATATCCACCTGCCCCATGTACTGCTGCCTCAGATAAACACACAGCAGCATGGAGGGTGAGGGCAGGCAGACTGGAGCAGATACACAAAGGGAGCTGGTTGGAAAGCCTGCGCATATCAGCTCCCGTGGACCCATCTGCCCTGTCCCTGCTGCCTCCTACAGAGGCAGCTGGGGGGGGGAGGGGGGAGAAGAGAAAGTAGGCAAAAGCTGGCCCTCTTCCTCCCCCCCCCCCAGCACCATGGTGCCTCCTGCCCCTTCCCCAAGAGGCAGCAGTGTGGGTGGGGGGAGGGCAGAGGAGGCTGCAGCAAAGCAGCCTCTGTCCATGGGGAGCTCAAACCCCCTGTGGACAGGGGCTACTACCATGCCAGGCAGCGGGTCCATAAGGGGAGCTTTTTTTAAAACGCCATCCTGCTCCCTCTGATAGAGAGGCAGTAGGGGGCTTCCCAGGAGTGAGGTCAGAGCAAACTGGCTGCTAGCCCTGCCCCCAGGGACTATTGAATAACCACTAACATTTAATGTTTACAAGACTACACAGCTATTCAATTACATGACATCTAACATCCCTACTACACAGGGATGATAAAGACTATGCTTGGTCCTGCCATGAGGGCAGGGGACTGGATTTGATCTCTCAAGGTCCCTTCCAGTTCTAGTGTTCTATGATTCTATAGTTTAAACCAGAGGCCAGGGAAACTGGAGGGGGGGGAGAGTTTACATGAAGCAATACTACCCCCTGCTGGAGGACTGCATTACAGTTAGCTAACACCAAGCTAACCGGAAGAGGCTCCATCCTACTCCCCAGCTATCATTTAGAAATGGAGAGAGACTCTTCCCTACTTTCAGGATACCACAGCAGAAAGCAGGGACTAGAGCAGCCCCAGCTGATACCAGACCCAGGCAGCTTGTTTTGTTTGAACCAAGATGCACTGGAGCTTTCCCAGACAGTGGGCTAGGATTAAGGTTCAGGATTCTATACCTGCTTTTACCAGACCTTTGCTTGTCCTCAGGCAAGTCCTCCTCTGACTGCTGCCATAGTTCCAGATGCCCATACTTCTACACCTCACAGCCAAGGCTGCAAAGGTAGATCTAATGATAGTTGACCACCTCCCTCCCCACCCAGGCTATGTCTACACTGGCCACAATTTCCAGAAAAGGGATGCAAATCAGGTAAGTCAGGATAGGGAAATCCACAGGGGATTTAAATATCCCCTGTGGATTTAAACAAACGTGTCCACTGCTTTTTTCCAGCTTGGGGAAAAGCTGGGAAAAAAGCATCTAGACTGGCGCGATCCTCCGGAATAAAGCCCTTTTCTGGAGGATCTCTTATTCCTACTTTGAAGTAGGAATAAGATCCTCCAGAAAAGGGCTTTATTCCGGAGGATCACACCAGTCTAGACACTTTTTTCCAGCTTTTCCCCAAGCTGGAAAAAGCGGCGGACATGTTTGTTTAAATCCGTGGGGGATATTTAAATCCCCTGCGGATTTCCCTATCCTGACTTACCTGATTTGCATTCCTTTTCCGGAAATTGTGGCCAGTGTAGACGTAGCCCCACAGTATAGCACTAGGGTTTCCTAAGAATGACAGGAATCAGGGACTCTGCTCAGCTGAGAGTAGGTGCTACTTAGCAACAGGAAAGGGTTAAAGGCACATGATATTAGAAGTTGTCCTACAGCAACTCACTAGGGCTACGTCTACACCGTGGAGCTATTTTGGGACACCAGAAGTATCCCAAAATAGCTATTCGGTGTCTTTTGAACAAGCCCATTATTTCAAAACAGGCTAGCTAATCTGACGTCCTTGTAAGAACCTCATTGTATGAGGAGATGTTTCAGAATAGCATTCTATTTTGAAGTTCGGGGCTGTGTAGACAGCACCAAATTACAAAATTAGCTATTTCAAAATTAACTTGAAATAAGATGTGCATGCAGTGCAGATGCACCCTTGCTGATTTGTATTGTAGAATCAGTTTCAGCCTTGAGCACAAGTCCTCCGCCTCCCCCCATAGCGAATATGAGGAGTTCTGGTTTCACTGACCTCCCCAAATCAGTGAAAACACTTTGTTCTAAGAACTTCCATGCTGCAGAAAATCCCATCATTATAAAACTTTCATCCTTCCCTCAAGTTCTGAGTTGGGCAAAAAAAAAACCCCTAGAAGTTTCAACATTTCCTTTCACTTTTGAGTTGATGCTTTAACTAATATGAACATACTGTACTGCCTACTGAACATTTTAAATGGACTTTACAGCAAAGTCTAAGCCCAGCTACAATGAGGGAGTCAGTGACAACTTGACTCTTCCACTGCTCCCATCCATCCACTGAGGAAGTGGACATTCCCAGAAAGTGTTTTGATTAAACGGCACTTGCATGGAAGACTAGAACATGTGAATGGCTGCTGCCAGTCACAGTTGGCCATTAGGGGGAGAAGTCATGCTACCTTGCCCCTAAGACCTATCCCCCATAGGCAGACTTCCAGTGGGTGCAGTACAAGCAGGACCTTTTATTTTTAATAGAAAGGCCCAATCTAGATTCTACCCTCAGTTGAAAAGCCCCCAGAGTAGGTCTCAACTCTGCCAAGCACTTCATACATCCCCCACCCATTGTTGAGGGTTGTTTGTGCCAAACAACCCCCAATATCATGTCCTGAAGTCACAACTCTCTGCAGCTAAGTGACAGCTACATTTCAGCAGCGGGGGGCAGAGACTCTTCCATCTGAACTCCAGCAGCCAGGCTGTGCACCAAGGATGGCAGAGCTTGGATCCTGCCTTTAAATAAAGCTAGCTTTGACAGGAGTCTCTGCTCTTGGAGGCTGGCTGTACAAGGTTTCTGGAATGTTGTGCTGTACCCATTCCACCCAGCAGAGGGCAACCACATCCAACCCTTCCCCTCTTGACTAGTCCACCAAGCTGGGTCCAGTCACATAACATATTTGTCTCTGTATTTGTCCCCACAGCTAAGGGCAGCTGCATCTCATCCCCCCACTCAGACTTTCACAATGCTGGTGCCACTGTCCGACCCCCAGGAGGGTACCACAACCTCCCCCACCTGCATCCCAAACAATTACTACTGTGGAGAGGAATGTGCATCTCCACCCCCACCTGCAGACTTGCACATTTGCTAGGTAGGACTGTGGATCCTTCCTCTTTAAGGGCAGGGAACCTTTGATCTTGCTCCAGAAGGAGACAGACACTGCCTGCAGTACAGAAGGCCCTCCTCTCCACATGTAACCTGCCAAGCATTAGACTGGACAATTGTTAACAAAAGGAGCTGGGTGTTGAAGGATGGTGAAGCCCATGGACTAAGATGCAGCACAGGTCAGGAAAAATCCCATCTCTCCACCAGTTGGAAAGAGGAAAGCAGCAGCACAGGAAGGGTAGCTCCATGTACACACAGGAACCGGATCACTTTATCAAGTGATACAGCAGGAGGCATAAATATGCTGACAGGGTCAGATTCCTCTTCAAACAGTCCTGTGTGCCCATCCTTCAGCAGCTTCTGCTCATGTTCCCCTCCCCCCTCCAGCTGTGCAGTGTTCCCTTCCCCACTCTTACTGCTCACCTGGTGGTATCTTCAGCTCACTCTGGAGGGGGGGGTGCTGAAACATGTTACAGCAACTGCAGTCAGAAGCAAGTTAAACTGTATGTAGTGAGAGAACCTTACCTCTTCCTCATGTAGCCTTTCCCCAGGGGAAAGGTGGCTTTGTGGTAAATAAAAGACCCTGACTTTCAGGCCAGGGCCCTCAAAACCCAGCTTCCCCTCACACATGCCTGGCTCAATTGCTGCATGCGTAAAGGGGAATAAGCCATTTAGAGTGCAAGCAGCAGCTCCTCAACAGTTGTATCCCAGACTCAGGCCAAATGGGTTCTAGTCCCAGCTCTGTCATTGACCTTAGCAGTCCCTTCCCCTCTTTCATAGTAACTTTCTAACTGGTAACCCAATCCCAGTGTCAGCTGACCCCCACTCCCCTCTATCAGGAGCAAGATAGGCCACCACTGCCTCCTCCAATAGCCATCCTGTAATGTCCAAACCCATATAGATAGCCCCAGAGTCAAGTTTAGATTGGTGTTTTGGGCCTGCACTGAGGAGCAGTTCTCCAGCTCAGGAAATACTCCAGAAGGCGGCCCACGTTGGTAGAAGCTCTTGCCAGCACAGATCTTTAAGATATACCCATTCCTTTCACAAAGCTCAAAAGCCACTTCCCCTGGCATTTCCCATAAAACAAGACAGACTCAGTTGCAGAACTTGCCAATACATTTTAATGTTTCAAAAAATTGTATATAGGCTTAAACAGAATGCACTTCCCTCTGATGCACAGGCCTGGGGGAACCCCTTCTTGAGAACTGCTTCACTGCACAAGATGTAAACAAGGTACATAGCTGACAGATGTGCAGTCCTTAAGTCTGACTCCTGTGCCACAGGAATCCACATGAAGCCCAGGATACAGCTATGACAATGGACAGCTGGAAACATTCTAGCCAGTCTTGAAGTATCAGTTTTAGCCTCTTGCCTGGCACATGGCTGCTCCAGCAATACTTGCCAGGGGAGGGTCTGATACCAAAAGGCTTTATTCTCCATTGGTGGTGTCAGCCACACAAAACAGGTACATACCAAGCACAGCCAGGTTGTTACAGCAGATAGCTGAAAAGGCTTTGTCTGGGTTCCCCTGTGAAAGCAGCAAGAGAAACCCACCTATCCATGTTGCTTCCAGTCCAGTCACAAGAATAAGGCCCATCAATAGAGAGGCCCCCACTTTAGCCATACCCTCCTCCCTCGTATCAGCCTGGCAGGAGGATGCTGTGGCTTACCCTTTAGGTCTCCCCCAGCACTGTGCTGCCATTGCTTCATAAGAATCTGCCTCGAGAGTTTGACAAAGAGCCTAAATTGGGTGCCTACTCCCAGCAGGATTCAGTGCACCTAACTGGGTGCCTCCATAGGTGGCGTGGTAGGCCTCAGTCAAGCACTGCTGGGACAGAGAATGGTAGTTAAAACTGCAAGCAGTGGAGTGGTTGGAGGACTTCTGGCAGGGCCCTTTAGTTGACAGAGGCAACCAAAGAAGAATTTAAGCAATTGCCATCAGCCTGTGCAGCAGTGGATCAGGAACATGGTCATCCTTTCTCCACGGGTGCTTGGGGAATAGTTCCAGGTCTAGACTTGGAGGACAACCACGTCAGACAGTTCAGTGACAGTCACTAGCAGACTGAAGCATGCTGCCAGAGTAACTGTCCTGAGCCCACCTCAAGGTTAGTCCCAATGCTTCTCAGGATGAGTGTTTCTCTAGACAGACAAAGTTAGAGGTCAACATCTGACCATGTGATACAGTGCAAAGTGTGTCAGTTAATGTGGATTAACAGGCTCAGATTAGGATTTACCTTGCACATCTCAAACCATGGTGAAGACAGAAGGAAGGAAGTGCTACAGCAGAGTAGCCTGAACTGAAGCAACCAATGAAAGTCCTGGGACTGAGAAGTCAGACCTGTGACACTTTAAGGAAGAGGCGGCCTCAGGACTAGACTATCTTTAAGAAATTCAGGCTTCCCAAAACAGAGATGTGGATTGTGAAATTTACAAGAAGCCAGGTCAGTGAAGACATGTCTAAGAGGAAGTGATGATGCCGAGGGGGTTCAAAGCAAGTATGTAGGCTTGCTGTATTCTGTAAAAAGGAGTCTGGGAGCAAAAGGCACAACAGCAGCACCGAGATTCTCCCTCCCCCTCAGAGAGGTCAGTCTAAGACCTCCCTCCCCCCCCTTTCAATTTTAACTAGTCTACATTTGATAGCTAAAACCAAGAGTCATTAACTCATTTACTTGTGAACGAGTGGTGGGATCAGGAAGCCCTGGGGGGAAATGAGACTTTAACCCTAAAACAAACCACCTAGGACCTTAGCATAAAAACTGCTCTGTACATGGGAGAAAAATCAGATGAGGATTGAACTGATGTTTTTGGACCACATTCTTACAAAAAAATTAGATCAGTTGCTTAACCACACTGGGAGTTACACCCCCTCCCAAATCAGACAGCTGGGGAAGAGCTGTTGTCCCAGCAGAAGGGTGAAGCTGATTCCATTGCTAGCAGTGCTTCCAGGCAGGAGAACTGAACTGATACTTGCAGCTTGACCATGCTGCCCCTGCCACAAGGAGCCATTCATTCACCTTAGAAAGACAAACCAGTTGCATTAGCAGCTCCTGGAGCAGCACCTCAAATGGAGAAGAGGGGAACAAAAATGTGGCCTCAAATATATTAAAAATATCATTCTTGTGCACAATGACATTATGAGGGTTTCATTCAGATCTTAATCACTCCTATAGATGGGCACATTTGGAAAGTTGTTAAGTTCGGTGCCTTTTGAAGAATTCAAGCTGTCCACCAGCTTTTAGGGGTTGTGGATCTTTGGCAGATTGTCAGATGTTGGAATCCAGGCATCTTGCTGCCCATCCTCCTACCCCCATTTAAAAGATGCTGGGGAGTCATTCATGTCTGCGTTTGGAGGGAGGCACTAGATGGGGGGGCAGTTCTGCAGGTAGCTCATGCCCTTCTAGCTTCACCTTGATCAAGTGGTTGGCCAGGGCAAACTCCTCATCATCCAAGAGTCCATCTTTGTCCACATCAGCCAGTTTCCAGATCTTGCCCAGGACAGTGTTGGGCAGCTTGGATTTCACCATTTCCTTCTTGGCACTGGCACCTGTGATCTTACCATTGACAGGTGAGAGGGTGTAGAAAATTTCATCATAGCTGGGCTTGTCCTTGCCCACCACCCACTCAATGTCATCAATGCCCTCACCAGCCCCCTCTCCATAGCCATGACCAAAGGGCCCATTCATGGTGCCCTCGAAGGCTCCGCCCTTCACCACCTGCGTGGGCATCTGAGACTCTTCCTGACGCACCATCACCATGAGCCGGGCAATGTCATTGGCCAGCATGTCATCCACTGCATCCAGCAGCTTGGGCTTCAGGGGCTGAAACTTGCTGAAGTCTTGAGCCAGAAGGAGCTCCTAGGAGAGAAATGGAAGAGATAAGCATTCAGGGCTTTGGCACTGGGGAGCAGGCTACTCCCCCATCCTAATACCCCACACCTCCAACCCACCCCCTCAATGCTCACATGTCCCTGCCCCATCCAGCCATGCTCAACTGTCCACAATCCCATCTATCCTTGAATGGATAGATTAATCCCCAGAACCCAAAATTCCCATATGCCCCTACATCAGGCCCTTCCTAGTCCTAATGAATACAACCCTTATCTTAGACATCCAGACCCCTTGCTTAAGCTACAAGTAGCAGGTGAAGCACTCAACTGTCCTCCATTCCAGAGGTGGTTGCAAAGTGGCACATGCACCATAGGAAGTGGGAAGATAAACAGCATATAGGGGAAATTTGTATTTAAGCAAGGTACCAGCTTCCCATAATACCTGACATCTTGCGTCCTGTGACTATATTTTAAGATTAGCCCTTCTTCCAGGACTTGGGATCCTGAGAGACAACAGCACCTCCCTATCAGCCTGTCTCAAATCCAGCCACTGGCTTGTATCAGTGCCATGCTGGAGTTAGAGGGACTCTTGCCCTCCCTCAAACATGAAATCTTATCTGATTCTGGTTTTAGAATGAACTGAGATCACTTGTGCTGCAGGAGAACCAAGGCAGACAGGAATGCTCCTAATCATCTATAGTGGGGGCCACTAATGGGGCTCATTTCCTTGCTAGAGGCTAGTCAGTTAGAAGTCTCTAGCAATGACTCCAAAGGCATCAGTGACTGCCTAGAAGTCATAGTCATAGCCTGACTATCAGAGTGGCTCAAGTACAAGGGTAGGCAATAGTTTTTGCCTAGGGGCCACTTCAAAGAAATTTTAAGTGACCCCGGGCCACCCTGGAAGGGGTGTGGCCTAAACAGAAGGGGGCAGGGCTAACCCACTGCCACCCATGGCCTGGAAGAGGCTTGGCACACTTCCCCACCCCAAGGTCAATCAGGGCCTGGTGGGCAGGAGAGCACCTAAAGCCTCCCTCCCACCCTGTGAGGAGCTCGTGGCACTTTGAAGTGTCATGGGCTCCCTGCAGGACTGGGGCAGGGCGAAGGAAGCTTCACATAGCTCCCCCGCCTCCAGGCCCTAATTGGCCTGGGGGCAGGGGAACACACAAAGCCTCCTCTGCTCTCCCCTCAGCCCTGTGTGCAGCATGTAGTGCTTCAAAGCACCAGGCAGGGCAGGAGGAGGCTTGGGCACTCCCCCACCCTCAGGCCCTTCAGACATGGCTTTGTACCTGCATTTTGCGCAGACTGGGGAAGTCTCCAGGGGAGATCTGATGCTCCCGCTCAATCTTCAGGTAGATTTCACCCAGATTGTTCACCAGCTCCTTTTTCTTGCTGTCCTTCCCAAAGACATTGGGCATTTCCTTCTTCAAAGAACTGATGATGTAGGCATGGACCTAGGGAAGGGGGAAGAGAAGAGCAATAATGCCTGGTAGATAGCATAGTGTTCTACTTTCCCTGCCCTAATCCAAACCCAATTCCTTCCCAGAGCAGGAAATAGAATCCAGACATCCTTGCTCCCAACCTCACTGCTGTTCTAACCCATTTGACCATGTTCTGGCACTAAGGAGAAAGACCATGGAGTTCCCATTCCTACCAAGAGACCTTATCCATGCAAATCTATGCAAAACCACGAATCACTCAAGAGTACTTCCTTACAAGAGCAAACAGCTTTATCCTCACTTCAAGGGGAAACTGAGGTACAAGGGTGGGGAAGATTACCCAGCAGGGCAGGAGTAGAGCCAACAGAAACAGGTCTTGGAAACCCCTACTCAGCAGGTTCCACTGCCTCAGGTCCCAGTCTGGGGGGGAAGCTGCCACAGACTGCTGGTGCCCTCCTCCCCCATATGCAGTGGCTTTACGCCTTAGCTTCTGGGCTCATCATTTCCCAGGGAGCCTTCTGTCTATGCAAATATGGGCATGTGCATCAATGGATTGTGTCACCACAGAAGGATTCTTTATTTTAAAGGTGAATTGGGAAAGTCTCTTCCCTCTGGGCTTCAATATTAGAGAGACTTGAACCCAGGCCATCACAGACCTACTAATTCATTCCCCATGGAACACAAGTTGGTCTTAATTGGCACTGGCCTAAGAAAGAAGTTCAAGATCATCTAAGTGACTTGAACTCCTTAGACCCTATTTACTTTCACTGTTCTTGCAGATAAGACTATCAAGAGTGCCTAACTAGCATCTGGGTGATAATGGCCCATGGAGCAGTCATCCATTCTAAGCCATAAGAAATTAAGGCCAGAAGACCTTTGAACTAGCCCAGCCTCTTGCATAAAAAAAGTCAGAGCAAAAGCACTGTTTAGTGCAGGGGTGGTGAACTCTTTTTGGATTGGGACCACAGAAGGAAAAATAAAAGTCAGTCAGGGGCTACACACAAGTGAGAAGTGGAAAAGCCTCTTCACTGAGGCCTGACTGAGAAAACAGACACTCCCACATACTACAATATAAGGGTCCCAGCCTAGAAGACTGTGCATTCTAGCCCCCAGGCAACAGCAGCGGGTCTTGAACACCAGCATGGGCTCCCCAATTCTGAGGGGGAGCTGAGCCTCAGGAGCCAGATCCAGGCAAACCAAGGGCTGCCCCCAGGCAGGAGGATCACTAATCCAGGGACGGGGATTAGAGAACTAAGGACTTGAGGTCTGCATTGAGTCCAACCTGCCACTGACTAAGTGACAGATAAGTCACTTTACTGTTTTAACTCAGTTTTCCCATCTGTAAAATCGGGATCATACGGGCTTACAGGTATATTTAGGATTGTAAGGCACTAAAATATTTGAGAACTTCATCTAGCTATTCTCACATGGAACCTATAGTTTGAAGTATAGCATCTCTTCTGGAGTGACAGTATTTAGAGTCCCCATTTAGACAATCTATTGTGTTCTTTCATCAGTCCTTGGAATAGTCACCCTCACTAGGGAACATCTGCCCCTGTTGGTATGAATCTTGCTTTCTTGTTCTGTCTTCTGCTAGACTGAAGAGCCATCTACCACCAGAAATCTTCCTCAGGTAGGGTCTTAAAGACAGTGATCAAGTCACCTTTAGCCCAGGCCCACCATCTGCCCATGAAGAGCCCCTGTATGTGGGGGTCCCAGCAGCAAACAGGAGCAGCCCTGCTCAGTCCTGGTTTGTGCAGGGACCAAAACTCCCGGTGGCTCTAATTTAAACAGTAGGAGCTGGACACTTGCCCCTTGGCTGCTACTGCCTTTTAAACTGCAGTACTGCAACAGGGTTTGGTTCCAGCATGAGCTGGGACTGGACAGCTGCCCACACTATGGTGGCTCTGGGGGCCAGGGAACACTGCTCTTAACATGGCTGTTGGGAGAGATGTATCCTGCCCTGCCTCTCAGCCAACCAGCACCAGGCTGGGGTGGGGTCTCCTCCAGTCACAGAAGAGTGTTTTCCTGCATGGCGGCTTGCATGGAGCAGCTCCATGCAGACCTCCCACCATGCAGGAAGATGCTCCCCAGAGACCCTGTCCCTTCACAGTGTTGGTGCAGAGTGCTGGTTGGCTGAGATGGCGTAGGACATGCCTCTCCCAAACAGCTTCAGCTAGAGTGGTGTACACCAGTGCTGGCCCCCAGAGCCACTGTGACTCAGCAGCCAGAGGTCTGCAGCCTGGCAGTTCGGCTGCCCTAGTCCAGCAAGTCCCAATAGCAGAGCCTGGACTCCAGGACACAGTTAGGCCATTCCATTAGCAGTAAGTTAGCAGAGATATAGGAACAAAGTTGTAGCCTGATTTAAGTATTATGGTCAATGATCAGAACCCCACTGTGTTAAGTCCTTCATGGACATCGTACAAAAACTTTGTTAGACTGTAACCAGAGTTAGAGTTTGAAACTGCACATATTTTGGAAGGCCTGACCAGCCATATAAATGCTATTCCTTTCTGAAGTGGATTGTGCTGAATCAAGCACTAGTTTGAGAAACCTAGTTTCAGCTCTGGTTTTAAGAGCTATTTCTGACCCATATCAATGTGAGCCTTGTGTTTTCCCCGAAGCAATCAAGTTTTTACTGTTCCTGGATAATGCAAATAGAAACTGAAAGAAAAGATCCATAAAAAAAGAGAGACAGCTGTGTTCCATAAAGAGCTGCACTTTTCCAGACGGGTTTCACTTGTCTCTAATATGTCACACTTGAAGATAAGCTAATGCCCAGAACAGTGCAGGGTCCAGTCAAGAGGTGTTTAAAGATGGAATTTCCCCAAGCATGGCTCAAGTTTCTATAACTTCTCTAAACTGACTGACAGCCTCAACTCTCCAGCAAGGGAAGTTCATCTGAGGGGTTTACCTGCTATAAAATGAAGCTGTTAGTAGTCTGGCAAGAAAGAAATATAACTCAAAAAAAATCCCTGTCTTATCACAGAACCACACTTCTGGGAGCAGTGCACCGACCAGTGGAGAGGTAAGAAAAAACCCACTACTAATTAGTGAGCAGTACAAGCTATGCCTCACCTACTATTAAAAAACAGCAAGTAAATGGTCTGGTAGCACTTTATAGGCCATCTACATGTTTTCTTAAAGTGCTACCAGACCATTTACTTGCTGTTTTTTAATAGTAGGTGAGGCATAGCTTGTACTGCTCACTAATTAGTAGTGGGTTTTTTCTTACCTCTCCACTGGTCGGTGCACTGCTCCCAGAAGTGTGGTTCTGTGATAAGACAGGGATTTTTTTGAGTTATATTTCTTTCTTGCCAGACTACTAACAGCTTCATTTTATAGCAGGTAAACCCCTCAGATGAACTTCCCTTGCTGGAGAGTTGAGGCTGTCAGTCAGTTTAGAGAAGTTATAGAAACTTGAGCCATGCTTGGGGAAATTCCATCTTTAAACACCTCTTGACTGGACCCTGCACTGTTCTGGGCATTAGCTTATCTTCAAGTGTGACATATTAGAGACAAGTGAAACCCGTCTGGAAAAGTGCAGCTCTTTATGGAACACAGCTGTCTCTCTTTTTTATGGATCTTTTCTTTCAGTTTCTATTTGCATTATCCAGGAACAGTAAAAACTTGATTGCTTCGGGGAAAACACAAGGCTCACATTGATATGGGTCAGAAATAGCTCTTAAAACCAGAGCTGAAACTAGGTTTCTCAAACTAGTGCTTGATTCAGCACAATCCACTTCAGAAAGGAATAGCATTTATATGGCTGGTCAGGCCTTCCAAAATATGTGCAGTTTCAAACTCTAACTCTGGTTACAGTCTAACAAAGTTTTTGTACGATGTCCATGAAGGACTTAACACAGTGGGGTTCTGATCATTGACCATAATACTTAAATCAGGCTACAACTTTGTTCCTATATCTCTGCTAACTTACTGCTAATGGAATGGCCTAACTGTGTCCTGGAGTCCAGGCTCTGCTATTGGGACTTGCTGGACTAGGGCAGCCGAACTGCCAGGCTGCAGACCTCTGGCTGCTGAGTCACAGTGGCTCTGGGGGCCAGCACTGGTGTACACCACTCTAGCTGAAGCTGTTTGGGAGAGGCATGTCCTACGCCATCTCAGCCAACCAGCACTCTGCACCAACACTGTGAAGGGACAGGGTCTCTGGGGAGCATCTTCCTGCATGGTGGGAGGTCTGCATGGAGCTGCTCCATGCAAGCCGCCATGCAGGAAAACACTCTTCTGTGACTGGAGGAGACCCCACCCCAGCCTGGTGCTGGTTGGCTGAGAGGCAGGGCAGGATACATCTCTCCGTACACTTATTGGGGTGCCCTTCAACCTCTTCCAGGTTGCCCACTGCAAGGGACCCCGGTCTCAGCAGTTGAAGTCTCGGGTGTATAACACACACACACACACACACACTGCCCTGACCGTCGGCTGACAGGGGCTTGCACTCATACTGGACTATCTGCACCAATGCAGCCTGAAATAGCAAGGGTGCTGCAGGCCAGACCTGGCCAGCCATGATACTCTGGGCCACCAACACCCCACAGCCGACTGGGATCCTTAGGCAGGCTCCCTGCTTGCTATGCCCATGTATACCAAAGTGGCCAGCTGCTGAGACCACGTGCATCTGTCTGGGGGGCATGGGCAGAACTCCAATACAATCCTCACAGCTCCCATTGGCTGGAAACTGGCCAATGGGAGCTGGCTGGGCCGTGCTAGTCATCCTTCCCTACCATCCCTGATGCACTCCATACATAGATGCATGTGGCCCTAGCAGCTGGCTGCTTCAAATAGCATGCAGAGGCATGGCAGGCTGGGAGCCTCCCTGAAGGTCCTGCTGTGTTGCAGTCCTGGAGCTGCGTAGGGTAGAGTGACTCCCAGCTAGTGCCTGGCACTCCACTTCCCAACCCTAGGTCACAACCCAAACCCTCTGAACCTCCTCCTGCACTCCTGCCCCAGGTCAGATTCTCTCCTGCACCAGTGCCCCTCCTAGACCCTCCACCCAGAGGCTGTACCTCCTCCATTAACAGAGTTCAGCTCTTGACAGCTTACTTTTGAGGGGGGGGGGGGGGCACGCCAAGAATTTGGTAATTGCCCACCCCTGCTGCATAGATTCTACAATAGGGGCTTATACTTATGCTGCTAAGTAGTAGAAACATTGACCAGGAGTCAGGACTCCTAGGCTCTTTTCCAGCTCTGTGGTGGGGACACAGTTTAGTGGATTAGAGCAGGGAGCTAGAGACAGCACTGATAGGAGCAGACTTGGGAATAGCAAACTGCTCTGCAAAGTTGAGTGAGCCCTTACCTGCTCTAGCATTTCACCTGAATATCCCAGAGTGGGAGGAGAGACCCAAGAGGGGTAAGTGTCTCATTGTGGCTCTGACAGAGGGGAAAGCAAGCTGGTGTGCCCCAGTGTAGTGCTCTGGCAAGAAACTGGCCTGCTGGGGCACTTAGCTGCAGGGGGATGGGCAGGATGCTCCCAGCCTGGCTCCCAGCTTCCTACAAGCTGCCATGCTAGCAGCAGGCAGCCTGGCAGGTTAGAGAGTCTAGCTGGGGGGCAGGGGGAGGAGAAGGGCCTGAGACTGCCCCAACCCAGAGCCCCTGAACCTCAATTTCACAGGATGGGTGCTGCACAGCCCCTTACTCTGGTTGCTGAGTTTTTGGTTTGCTGACCAGGGAGCAAGGCAAGGTTCACAGCCTGCTGTTGCTCCTGGCTGCCCAAGGAGGAAGGCACAAGCCGTGCACTTTGCCTCACTCCCTAGTCAGCAAAAACCTCAGCAACTGGGGTAAGTGCGACTATGGCCTCTCTGCCCCTGAAATGTCACCCTTGTCCCCCTGCACTCACCCAGCCCTCTGCCCTGAGCTGCCATCTCCTTATATAGCCCCAACCTTGACTCCTGCATCCCCATATCCAGCCCTAGCACCTCACCCCCTATGTAAACAAACTGGCTGACCTGAGCCTCCCTGCACCCCACCCTTAAATTTCACACAGGTACTGTTGTATGCCTAACCCCCTCCCTGCAAGGGGGAGCGGGATGCGACAGGAGAGTACCTGTAAGAAATTTAAGTTATTCACCTCTGCTCTGAATAGCCATGGGGACACTGATCTCAGTCCAGGGGGACTCATGCCAGCAGACACATGGCATAATAGGCACACCCTTGCACTTGGTCAAGTGAACTCTGAAATGGGACATTAATGCTAGTCAAGAATCATCTTTGTTCAGAGAAGGCTTCACCTAGATCAAATCCCCCCACTTTGGTCTGTGGCTCAATGGAGAGGGAATGCTTGAGGCACCATACCTTGGCTAGCCTGGCTCTCTTGATGAGGTCATTGAGCTTGCGGAGTGCAGCATTCCTGGGCAGAGACTGGATGTCTTTGAAGAGATCCTGCTCTTCTGCTTCAAAGAGCTTCCTGTTGTCAGGGATGAGGAGTGGATGGGACCAGAAGGAGCCAATGTAGACTCGCACCACCTCTGGTGTGTTGATGATCTTCCCTAGTGACCACATTAGAGCACCGTAGACCCGCATCAACTGTTGCGTCTCGATCTGGTCAGCTTTGTTCAGCACCACCCGGATTTTGTCCTCGTGGTTCTTCAGGGCCTTGATCACCTCTGAAAACTCATCCGAGATATCCAGCTTGTGAGCATCAAAGAGGAGGATAATGCGGTCCACACGCTCTGCAAACCACTCCAGTACTGCCGCAAAGTCATAGCCTGTGGGAGATGAAGGTCGTGATGTATAAACTATAACTAGGAAGGAGTCAAGGTAAAGCATCAATTTGCAACTCTGAAGACTCTGGTCTATCTCCAGTCCTGTCACTGAGGTTGTGTCTAGACTATGGGGTTTTCCAGAAAAACTGTCCATGGAATGCATCTGCTCTTCCACTTTTTTGCAGAAGATGTGCTCTTTCGGAAGCGCTGTCTTCCTTGTGCCACGAGGAAGAAGGTTTTTCCAAAATTTGGCCCAGGGTAGATGGGCCAAATTCTGGAAAAGCCTCTTCTGAAAAAGCTATTGGAAAAAAGGTACGCAAATTGTGGAGCACAATGTGTACCTTTTTCCAATAAAGCCCTGTAGTGTAGGCATAGTGTCAGGCTCTGGCTCATCATTGCCATCATGCCTCAGTCTCCTCACATCTTGTCTTACTGAGTTGTTGGGGTAGCACCTAGGAGCCCCAATGCCAGCCATGGAACAGAAACCACGCAGACAGACTGCCCCAGAACTTCCAATCAAAGCCATCTATTAGACTGCACACTAATCAGGGACTGAGTTGTGTCCTCCACCAAGCACAACAGGATCAGCTAAACTGACCAGCCAACGCAAGCTATGCCATCCAGCCAAGAAACTGGATGTTTCCAGAATCCCAGTATATGCCATAAGATTAGATGGACAAAGGGACTTTAATCTACTGGCAGCTTGAGAAGATTACTTGGTTTAGCCCAAAACATTTTGAATTTGACCGTTTACAGGTTTTGAATTGTAATAAGCTTCAAGAAATTGGAGTTCAAAGATCAGTGTTTGAGTCTTAAACAATGCAGTGAAACTGCCATGAAAGCCTCTCACCAATAGAAGCTATTACAGATTGGACCTCCCTGGCCCAGCTTCCTTAACTCCCATGTCCAGGACTGTCAGGTCCCGGACACAGGAGTTCTCTGGACCAGGATGGTCAAGGAGTGCCAGCTCCTCTCCCCAGCTACCCATCACTGATGCCCCAGAAGCCCTGCAAGCTCCAGGAAGTGGCCCTGCAGGCACTTATTGGCCAGCTGTGAACACCACAGCCCTCCCTTTCCTGGCCCCATTGGCTGTGAGGTCAGCAGTCCCCCTCCCCTGCAGACTCCAGTGGCCCTGCCATCTTCCCAGCCTGTGGGCTATGCACTCTACTACCCCACAGGCTACAGTGCCCTCACTGGCTTCCCAACCCAGACGACTGCAAGTTCTGGTACCCCATGGGCTCAACTGCCCTGCAGGCCAGCTCTGCACCCATCTGCTGGCAACATCTGTACTGGGACTAGTCCAGCAACATCCATGATCCAATGTTGCCAGACCAGAGAATCCTGGATCAGAGATTTGATCTGTACTTCACCCACCCTGTCTTGTTCAGTAAACTTTTCAACATCCCTATTATAATCATGCAGCTGCAATAATTTTTAGTTGTAACAGTTACTAAAATGCTCCAAATGGGGATAGGGCTGGCAGCCAGTGCACTCCCCTCTCCCTCCTGGGGAGCCGTCACACTGTGCTTACAGAAGGTTTGCTAGTGTGCTCTTTGACTGGTGGGCTGGAATTGAGCCAGCCTACTGGACCATGTTTAAAATGTAAAGCACACAAGGGCTGTTGCCATTAACTAGGACTGTTAGACAACTAGCCACTAGCATCCCTAATTTATAAAGCAGGTTACTGAATTTGCATTTTCACTGAAGCGTTGACAAATTCATCCACATCTATCTAGAACTCAGCGAAAGTGTCACTGACTTATGGCCTCTATTAGGGCCTAGAGATCACAGCACCTGTGTGCTAGATACAGTCCAGTGAGCCTCCTGGAAGAGCTTGCTGTCTAACAAGCCCAAGTCACAGCTTGAGCCTGGCAGCTATTAGGGATGTTAAAGGGTAACCTGTTAATAGGCCTTCCCTCCATCCCTCCCAAGCAGGTAATAACCATCCTTTGCCTACTTAGAATGAATCGGGGACCTTGCACACCAGGTGCTGTTATCAGTGGTTTTCAGTTTGTGGGTCCCTACAGACTTTTAAGTTGAGGTAGACCCCTTTGGAAGTTTGGGCAATTTCAAGTCAGCCTCCAAAGTTTGAGCTGGGAACTGAACCTAAGGATCCTAGGCCCCAAGTTAATTCACTAAAACTTGGAATCATAGAGCTGGAAGAGACCTCAGAAGGTCATCAAGTCCAGCCCCCTGCTCTAGGCAGGACCAATCCAAACTAAATTAACCTGGCCAGGGCTTCAAGCTGAGACTTAAACACCTCTAGGGATGGAGACTCCACTACTTCCCTAGGTAACCCATTCCAGTGCTTCACCACCCTCCTAGTGAAATAGTTTTTCCTAATATCCAACCTGGACCTCTCCCACCACAACTGGAGACCATTGCTCCTTGTTCTGCCATCTGCCACTTCTGAGAACAGCCTCTCTCCATCCTCTTTGGAACCTCCCTTCAGGAAGTTGAAGGCTGCTATCAAATCTCCCTTCACTCTTTGCTTCTGCAGACTAAACAGACCCAACTCCCTCAGCCTCTCCTCATAAGTCATATGCTCCAGCCCCCTAATCATTTTGGTTGCCCTCAGCTAGATCCTCTCCAATGCATCCACATCCTTTTTGTAGTAGGGGGCCCAGAACTGGACACAATGCTCCAGATGTGGCCTCACCGGAGCCAAATAAAGGGGAATAATGACATCTCTGGATCTGCTGGCAATGCTCCTCTTAATGCAACCTAATATGCCATTAGCCTTCTTGGCTACAAGGGCACACAGTTGACTCATATCCAGCTTCTCATCCACTGTAACCCCCAGGTCCTTTTCTGCAGAACTACTTCTTAACTGGTTGGTTCCCAGCTTGTAACAATGCTTGGGATTCTTCCATCCCAACCGCAGGACTCTGCACTTGTCCTTGTTGAACCTCAGATTTCTTGTGGTCCAACCCTCCAATTTGTCTAAGTCATTCTGGACCCTATCTCTGCCCTTAGGACCCCATCTTTCCTCTCCAGAATGGTATGAAGTAGTGACACTTGGCTTCTAGAGTAAAGCAAAGAGACCCACAATCCACCCTGAATCCAAGGTGGATCTCAGATTTCTCCAGAAGTGCAAGTTTAACTCTCATGAACCTGTCCCTTCATGCCTCTGCCTTCAGTGTGCATGAGAGAATCCCATGTGCCCACTGCAGCAATGACCACCTTGAGTGTCTACATGCAGCAGCAGTGCTGGTCAATGTATGCTCCAAGCCTGGTGAACCTGGCATTTTCACATGTTACAGCTAGTTATTCTAGGGGTAAAATAAGGTGTTTAAAACACTGGTAGCTGGTAATGAGTAACTTAACTTCTGAAAACAGCTGATTTGCTTATCTTGAGCAGAGATGGGGAACCTATAGCCTGGAAGGAGGGGGGGTTCAGATACAGCTCCAGCTTGCATGGAACTAGCCCCTGAGGCTTGGGTCCCCCCAGCATGGGGGAGCCTGTGCTCTAGATCTGCAGGGCTCCCTCATGGGGCTGGACTGCTAGCACAGGGCCTCCCCCAGCATCAGGGAGCCAGAGCCTTGTGGGCTAGTCAGGCAAGCCAGGGCCAGATCTGATTCATGGGCTCTGTCTGGCAGGGGGAAAAGTGGCTCCACATGCTGCTGCTGCTCCACCTTCACCCAAGGTGGGGAAATGGCAGCACAGCAAAGCACTGCCTGGAGGCCCTTCCCCTGCCACTGACTGGCTGTAATGGTGGCCAATAGGAGCAGCAGGGGCTGGTGCTCCCCACCACTCCATATTCATTCCTTAGCAGCTGCACCAAGTGCCCCCCCAGTCACCCAGACCCCCATACTCCTACCCAGATATCCCAGTCTCCAACCTGATCCTATACCTCTCACTACCTCCTGTCCAGCCCTCCCACCCCCAGCCTGCTCCTGTAGCCTCCCCTACCAAACCTCACACCCTAAACCTGCTTCCCAGTAGACCCCTCCAACACACTGAACCCTGCATTTTGGCCCCTCTCCAGAGCCTATGGGGCCCACAAGATCTAGTAGCAGGCTCTGGTGAGGGAGGGGAATGTGGGGAGTGTCTTCAGTCAGGGGCAACGTCAGTGAGGCTTTGTTTCTCAGTTGAGGCCCCTGACTTTGGATCAGGGGCTGCTGACCCCCTGATCCAAAAGTGTTCCCCATCCTGGATCTAAAACTAGAAGTTTCCAGCAGGACTGGAAAGGTCTCGTGCTGGTGACAGTTGAACAGGAACTGAGCCCAAATTGTGCACACAATGTTTCAAGTGCCAATAGCACATCAGACAGACACTGCTGTAAAATTCTGAGCAAAGGTATGGGATGCACAAACACCTGGAGTGGAGCATCCCCAAGGATCTCTCTTGAAGAGCATTTAGTTGTCCAAGTGCTTTTCTAAACACTAGCACACTTTCCAGAAAGTGAAGTGTGTCTGAGAATAAAGTCTTTCAGTTAACGCGATAGTGAAAAAAAACAGATGAGGAATTTAGACTCAGAAGAACTGATTCTGAGAAGCAGTCCTACTGCTATGCAAACTATTAGGGGAAAAAGATCAGACCTCAGCACTTTAAAATGAGAATAATGCTCCTTTGTACAGATGGGAAATTAAGATAAGTATGTTCAGGGGGAGGGGCAGGGGGCTTCTCCAAGTCTGATTAGCCATGGGGTAGAGGTAACAGAACCAAACCCAAGTCTTGAGACCCAATCCAGTGTGCCAACCTCTGTGGGTCATATTGCCTCTAAGCTCAAATCTCTAGTTTGAGATCTTGAAGTGGCATTGGTAAGCATCCCACAGCATTTATGTTTCATGCTTCTTGCACTTCTATACAAGGGATGTTAGATATGGTGTAACTGGATAGTCACGTAACCACATGAAATCTTTGTAGTTACACAACTGTTGAATAGTCCCCAGGGGTGGGGCCAGCAGCCAGTGTGCCTCTGGCCCCACTCCCAGGGAGCCCCTTGCCATCCTGTGCTGCTGCCTTGGATGCAGCAACCCTGTCCATGGGGCACTTGAGC